TATTGGAAAATGCTTGTCATTCCTCCGTAGCATCTGGTCCCTACTGGACCCTCATTATTTCCTTCACCTGCTCCCCCCCACCAACCAAACTGTGCAGCTCTGCAACTGCATCCTGGCCCATCCTCAGCCTTCTGCCCCCAACCCTCACCTCCTTGTACCCCCAATATGTTTTTCCCAATAAAAAAAAATTAAAAAAAAGAAGAGCATGGACTGAATCAGGCCCACCTTACTCCTGAAACTGACATCATTGCTCCTCAATAACATAGAGAAATCACTGACTTCCGACTTTTCCCAGTGAAGTATGTCTCCTAATCTCCTGACTGCTGGTACTAAGTCACACTTGGGCTTGTGGATTCAAATAAGATGAAGTCATTCAAAGTTTCAATCTTTTCTCCATCTACATTGTTGCCTGTGTATCAATCCAATGAAGAGAATTTTTCTTTTCTTGATGCCAAGATGCACACCACACTGAAGTATATAATCTTTACTCTTTGGCAAAAAGTACTTCAAGTCTTCCTCATTTTCACCAAGTAAGGTTGTGTCATTTGCATAAAAATTATTGTGGAAAAGTCTTCCTCTAATTCTGATGCTACATTCATCTTCACAGAGTCCAATTTATAGAATAATTTGCCCATGGAAATTAACGGAATAGATAAGTTGAAAGGATACAACCCTGATGCACACCTTCCTTAATTTTAAACTATTTAGTGTCTCCTTGCACTGAACTCTAAAGGATGTCAGAAAGGACTAATAACCATTTTAAAAAAAGGCAATTGAAAAAACTAGAAGGGGAGAAAGGACAAAAAAGATGTGAGAAGATACTTAGAAACTTACATTAAAAAGAGAGAGAGATCAAAATAAATGGAAGAAATACTGAAGTAAGGGAGATGAACAGAAGATTTCAAAGAGCTGCTTATGAAGACAAAGAATCATAATGAAATGTGTAAAGAGCTAGAGTTAGGAGAATTTTACACCCTACATACTCATAGAATTAAAAAAATATATTGGAGTAAAGATGGAACTAACTCTCCAGCAAGTCACAGAGGCGAAAAATCACCAGGGAGGTCATTTTTCTTTCACCTAGCCATTCTTGGATTCAACCAGCCAGAGAAGAATGGGTCTCTAAATTAGCATCCCAACTCACTCCACATCAGGTCACTAGAGCTCCTTTGAAAATACATTCCACCCTTCTCCCATCCTCTAACAATGCATAAAAGCTTACTATGAGTCGCATTCAACCTGATTGCAAGGGAGAGTTTTTTTCTGTTGTGTTTTCCATTTTCTTTTTTGGGTTTTTTTTTTAAGTTTGCATATCTAAAATGACTTGTATTTTGGACTCTTTATAAGATAAAAATCCAACTAACAGGTGGCACTGTCATGCTGTACATAATGACTATAAATAATATACACATTTTACTCACTTTTTATGTGAAATAAAATTTAGTTCATAAGTTTTACTATCTCCTTAGAGATAAATTTATGATATCAAACATAAATTAAGAAGAAAGCTTGTAATTGACTTTCCAACTTTCAGATTTTATTCCTTTCAAATTCTTTTATTATCTCAAATAGTCTATGCATAAATTACCACCCCAAACATAATATTTTAATTAAACTCAATATTATTTTTAACCATAAAGATGTTAGACTACTCATGATCAATTACACAAAAA